TCCGAAGAAGTGAGGTTTTTAGTCCACGAAAGCTTATGCTCTAATAAATTTGTTAGTCTCTAAGGTGCCACAAGTACTCCTGTTTTTATCCTAATTGTGCACTATGCCTCCAGATGTTCTTAGGGAGTGCCCTTGCAGAAATTCTTACAGAAGCTGCAGCATATGCTCCTTTCCAGGGTAAGGAGGGGAAGACAGCCATGGCCTTGCCTATGCCTTTCCAGTTTTCGGGTGACTACTGCTTGTAACAGTGCTACACAAAAGCAGTCCTCATATTCAGGAGCACGCAATAAAACTGTGGTCAGCCCTTATGTGCTTATATAAGTTTAAGAGTTAGGGAGACAGGTTTTTTCTGACCTCCCCTGTCTTGCTTACCCACATAGGGGCTAAGTACAGTCCAGCCTGTCTGTGCTTTAAGAATGCACTTTAATACCAAGTTATTTCAACATTTACACCGCTACCTCGATATAACACGACCCGATATAACACGAATTCGGATATAACGCTGTAAAGCAGTGCTCCGGCAGGGCAGGGCTGCGCACTCCGGTGGATCAAAGCAAGTTTAATATAACGCGGTTTCACCTATAACGCGGTAAGATATTTTTGGCTCCCGAGGACAACGTTATATCGAGGTAGAGGTGTATTTTTGAAAGAGCTTGACCTTTTTCCTGATAAATATTCCAGTTGTATAAATTGAATTGTTAAAGAGAGGCTATATAAACAATTAAAACCCTTTGAAAGCTACAAAGCCTTTCTTGCTATAAACAATGCTTTACTTTGGTTTTCATAAATTTTAACTGTTTTGGGTGTTAAGTATCAGGCAACTCAGAGGAAACAATAAATACTCATCTTGTGAATTTCCACAGGAAGCTTTGGAGGTCTTATTGGTTTCTTTCAAGGTACAAGCCTTAAAACTATATATTTTCTTTACTATTGTTGTGGTATAATATTTTAAACATTTATAGCATTTGCTTCAGTTGGATTGTGGCAAGTGTATTCTCTTCTTATTGATTATATCACTTGATAGTTTATCTTGATAGACTTCGGGGTTAGGTTTTCCTCACTGGCTGAGACATGAGAATACTCCCCCCAAACCATCTAAGACTTTTTTGAGAAGTGAAAATTGGAAGTGACTTCTGAAGGAGTGGAAACAATTCAAAAGACTTTTTATAAAAGGCAAGAATGAACACATTTCAGAGGCCAGTGGGCCAACAAGCAGAAATGACTGACCTAAAAGAATGCCACGCATATCCATATCCAGGGTGTGCTGCTGTTTTACCCCTCACATTTTCCCTTTGTAATCATCTGTCAGACGTAGTGGTTCTTCATAGAACATCTTTGGGATGGACTTTGGAGCCAGTGCTAATAGGACAGTTTCTCCAAGTCTCTTGAGTACAAAAACGTTTTCAGATATATTAATTAATTTTGTTTTGCCTTTTCTAGGGCTAACTAATCCTTTTGAGCAAACACTTCATCAAAAGGCAGAGTAAGATAGGCTCTTTACAGGCAGCATTATTCAGGATATAGAAGGATATCCAGGTATAACTGTAGTACACTAGGCGTTAAAATCAACAGTTCTCATACAACAGGTAACATGCACATCAGATGGGATACACACACTGGCTGGGCTAAATTAATCCCTGATGCAGTTCCCTTGACTTGGTTGTAAGATAGGTCATTAACTGGGTAGGATGTGGATTTGAATTGGGTGGATCTAGGTATATATAACTCAGGTGCCATGGTTAGATCATCACCTGATGTAACTTGAGAGATCAGGATGACCTGGATGCTTCCTGGCAATCCTGCTCTTTATGTTTGTGCTGATCCTAAGAAACTCTTGCATCCAAACCAATTCAAGAAGATTGAGAACCAATGAATTTATCACATAGCTAGCAAAGTATCTCAGAGGTTTGTTGGGAAGCCATGTAAGCTGGCTATCCATGGCATCCTTTCCCTTAAGAGACTTAGCCCAGTATTAGTATTCCTATCATTCTTACTGTTTTCCATAGAGTCCGCAACTGAGATTGGGGCCCCGCTATGCTAGGTTCAAACGCATTAAGAGACAGTCCCAGCCCTGAAAAGCTTATAGTTTACATCAGTGGTGGGCAACCTGCAGCCCACGGGCCGCACGTGGCCCATCAGGGTAATCCGCTGGTGGGCTGCAAGACAGTTTGTTTATATTGACCGTTTGCAGGCACGGCCGCCCGCAGCTCCCAGTGGCCGCGGTTCATCATTCCCGGCCAATGGGAGCTCCGGGAAGTGGCGGCCAGCACGTCCCTGCGGCCCGCGCTGCTTCCTGCAGCTCCCATTAGCTGGGAACAGTGAACTGCAGCAATTGGGAGCTGCAGGTGGCTGTGCCTGGAGACGGTCAATGTAAACAAACTGTCTCACGGCCACCAGCGGATTACCCTGCAAGGCCGCAGGTTGCCCGCTACTGGTCTAAATAGACAAGGTAGACAGTGGAAGGTGGAACAGAGGCAGAGAGGGGAAGTGAGCAAGTCAGTGGAAGAGATGGTATTGGAATTGGAAATGGCTGGAAAACTCAGAATTCAGAAACATTTTGAGGTTTTGACCTTTGTTTTCATTTCCCGTCAGAACAAACTTTTATGAGAATGAGAGACACACCAACACCTAGCGTGGTGATTAGGGTGCTCATCCTGGAATATGGGGTATCCAGGTTCAAGTATCTGCTCTGCCTGCTTCATAGCATAGATATCCACATCCCAGACAAGTGCCCTAATCTCTCGGGCTTTTAGAGTTAGTCTCCCGCTCTCTTCTCCATCTTTCTTGGTGGCACTTTTCCACTTATATAAATAGTTAAATATTCACTGGGTCAGCAAGATTGACTCTGTAGCCTGATGATTAGGGCACTTCCCTGGTATGTGGAAGGATCCCAGTTCAAGTCTATTTAATTCAGAGCAGGGAATTAAATCTGCCTCTCCTATGTCTCAGATGAGTGCCCTGACCAGTTGGCTGTTCTGGAATGGGTCTCTCTCTGTGATTTCTACCAGAAAGTCCATCCTGGACCTGAGAAAGCTTTGTCAAAGCCAATATGTTTCAATGAATAAACATTTTCTGACCAAAACAAAATATTTACTGAAAATTTCACAACTATTTCTAGTTAGAACCCAAGCTGCCTGACTCCTACACCAGTGTTCTGTCCAGTAGACCAAACTGTCTCCCAGCCAGATGTTCTTAGAATTCACCTTTGTTCACAGACAAATGCAGGGGCATCAAGCGGCAGAGAGGAAGATTAGATCACAGCTGGAGAGAGAGGGACTTTAGGTTCAAGGATGACAGAACTCATTGAGACACAATGGAGTTATCTGGAACCTTAATAAGCACTTTGCTTCTACTACAGATACACCAGAGAATCATCAGCAGAGTTTTCCAGAGGGGTGAAGTGTCTGGTTAATCCAGACTTTCTCATGCTTA